GTATTGTACCGAGTGTCCCGCCTCCATCCAATGTTCTGCCAAGGCTGATTGACTAAAATGGTAGTACCTGGCACTCCGTTGGTGTTTCTTAATTCGTGTACTGATCTTTCTCCCAGTTTCTCCTATGTACACTTTTCCACAGGAGCAAGGAATCCTGTATACACCTGGTGTTTCTAAGTGTGGTCTCCGGTCCTTGGGATTAGGAAGTAGTTGCGCAATCTTATTTTGAGGTTTGGAAATTACTTTGATATTGTGTTTACTCAGGATCCTGCTAATGCGTTCTGTTGTACTCTAAAGATACGGAAGGATCGTCTATTTTTTATCTTGTTTATCTTCTTCTTTTTCACTTGATGCACTCATATTTGTAGAACTGGAGATTTTATTTTTCAGCCTTTCAGTTGTTCGATGGATGTTTTTGGAGTTGTACCCATTCTTGGTCAAGACTTGGTTGAGATGTTCTAATTCTTCATTCAGGGAAGTTGGTTCAGAAATTGTTAAGGCTCTGTATATTAATGAACTGATGACAGAATTCTTCTGAGCTGGGTGATGATGAGAGGTGGCATGGAGATAACGATCCGTATGTGTTGGTTTTCGATAAACCCGATAGCCTAAGGTGCCGTCTTCGTTCTTTTTAACTAACACGTCTAAAAAGGGAAGCTGATTATTCTGTTCTATTTCCATTGTGAACTGAATACTGCGGTGCTGAGAATTTAGAAAGTCGAGAAATTTAGGGAGCGTTTCTCTGCCATGACTCCAGATGACAAAGGTGTCATCAACATATCGAAACCATGTAGAGGGTTTGAGAGGTGCGTTTTTCAGGACTTTATTTTCAAAATGTTCCATAAAAATGTTTGCAACGATAGGTGAGATAGGGGATCCCATTGCTGCTCCGGAGGTTTGTTCATAGAACTCTCCTTGAAATTGGAAATAGGTTGAGGTTAGGCAATGTTCTATTCTATTCTAGATGTGTTTTTAAAGTGCCTAAAGATGAAATTATGCGGAAAAAATGGGAAGCTATTATTAAAATTATATTAATATTAATTATATTAATTATGATATTAATCATATTTATTATTAATCATTAATTATATAATTAATAATTTAATAATAATTAATATCATAATTAATCATATTAATTATTAGAAGATTATTAGTCATATTATTATATTAATGAATGTTCAATATCTTTCTTTTTGTTCCACAATTGACGTACGCAGTGTTCTTGACATCCCATGATGGCAGCGACCCATGCGGTTATCATACAAACTACCCAAATCATTTTCCTTTTGAGACTTACCCCTACCATTAAAAAAGTGAAACAGTTTCCAGATCTGTATGTACGACCGTGGTTGTAGTACTATTGTAGTACAATCCGGCACAACCAAAACAAATTAAAATATGTCAAATTTTTTTCACCCTCGCCCATTTTTTATTAATTTTATCGACTCCCCAAGCTAATCTTTGCTTTTTATGCACGTGCCTTATAGATTTTGAGTAACACAACTAAGCACAACTCAGTACAACTCGCAAAAATTTTATATTTGTATTGTAGTGTGATTTATATGTATTTTTAAAATTTTTCTTTGTGAATTTTTTATCGAAATAAAATGAGATATTCAAATTTTTCCAACAACACAATGTGGCACAAGTTAGTACCAATTTATGAAACAATCGTGAACTTAATCGTAAAAAGGTGCGGGGCTATCTTAATTTTGTTTTTATTTTTTTTTTCTTAATTATTATTGATGTTATCGATATCGCGTTTGCGGTACAAATTAACACAATTGTAGCACAATACGACACAATAAAGAAAAAGTTAAAATTTAAAAAGTGCGGGGTTATCAAAAATCTTGTTTTTTTTTTTATTTCCTTGAATATGTTTTGAGTTACTAGATTGTGGTTTACGGCACAATATGGCACAAGCGTAGTATAATGCAGCACAATTCATAAAAATATAAAATTCGAAAAGTGCGGGACCAACTTCACACACGTGATTATATTTTATTGGCGTTATTTTGAAATATATATCATATTTTATTTAAATAAATAAATGTTTAAATTTAATAAATGTTAAAATAAATAAATGTTAATAAATGTTACCCAGCCAGAAATGATATCGAATCAACGTCAATTCATCGTTGAATCGACGTCGAATCGTTGTTGACTCGACGTCGATTTGATCATTCATTTCTGGCTAGGTAATAAATATTAATAAATGTTAAAATTTTTCTATTAAAAAATGATTAATAAAATATATTTTATTGTTTTTTATAATCAAAATTACGTATTTTTATTTAAAATTCAATTTAAGAATGAAGTGACAACTTTGCCCCAGGGTGGGGTGACGACTTTGCCCCGGCAATTTTGAAAATTCAATTTTTACATCTTTGTCATTTTTACTTTATACTAATCGAACAAAATGATATAGACCAAAAACATTATAGTCAAGGATTCATACTTTACAACGGTACACTACATTTCATTAAAATTATTTATTTTGTTGTTAAAAATCGGCATCTCAAAAAAAAGGTGACGACTTCACCCCGGTCTCCCCTATATAATAAAAATACAAGAATTAAAATTATGTGCGTAACAGAAATTAGGTGAATTGAAATTATGTACATAATAGAAATTTGGGCATTAATATTATGTACACAATAAAAATTCGATGAATTAAAATCATGTACATGATAGAAATTCAGTGAAATAAAATTATGTACATCATAGAAATTCTATTAATTAAAATTATGTACATAATAGAAATTCGGAAAATTAATATAATGTACATAATAGAAATTTGGCGAATTAAAATTATGTATATAATGGAAATTCGCTTACTTACATTCTGTTCTGCTGTCCTCTTGGCAATAGCATTAGGTTGTATGACAGCAAATGCATTCCATATTTCGTATGAATATGATCTTCCGAATGTGTACAAATACGCGAATAAATGCAAAATAAAAAATAATTAATATATTAATATATTTATATAAAATTTATATATAAATTTTATTTTGACAACTGTCAAACTGTTAATTCTCTCAACAGTTGCTCGATGCTATGAATCTAACACATAACAACGACAAATCGAGACAGCCAATCAGCATCGCGCAAAAGCGACAACAATGTCAATAACATGCCTTTTTTAGAAAAGGGACTAGTAACACAAGCGCGCGCTATTAATATTATTTTAATTTTTTTATCACACATACAGGGTTTGTCCGGAAAGTAATGCGTCGCATTTTTTGTGACGCGACTATACATCGCAGAGCGATGGGACCGGTTGGGGAGGAAGGGGGGTACCCTTAGCTTTCCAACGGTAGGTCGCTCAATTGTTTCCATGCGCTTGGAGGGTTAGGACGGCTTATTCTGTGAACCTCTGCTTAGTGGTCGCGTCGAACTTGTGATGGAGAGAACGATAGAGCAACGCTATGCGATAAAGTTTTGCGTGAAGCTGGACAAGACGCCGCTGGAAACTTTTGAAATGCTCAAGAAAGTTTTCGGGGACGATTGCCTTTCCAAATCGCAGTCAAACAGATGGCACAAGATGTTTAGAGAAGGTCGGAAGGAGGTCGCCGACGAGGCCCGCGCAGGACGCCCGTCAACATCGCGAACGGACGACAATGTGACTCGTGTGCGCCAATTATTGAATTCAGACCGTCGAATGAATGTTCGCTTAATGTCGGAATTATTGAACTTGCCGAAAACGATTGTTTACGAGATTGTATCGGAAGACTTGGCCATGCGGAAGATTTGCGCAAAACTTGTGCCCAGAGTGTTGACCGATGCGCAAAAGCAACACCGAGTGGAAGTTTGTGAAGAACTCAAGCAACTCTGTGCAGATAATCCCAATTTCCTGAACAACGTTATCACTGGGGATGAATCATGGGTCTTTCAGTACGATCCGGAGTCAAAGAGGCAGAGTGCGGAATGGCACACGACGTCGTCGCCGCGCCAGAAGAAGGCTCGCATGAGCAAGTCCCGGGTGAAGTCAATGCTCATTGTTTTTTTTTGATGCAAAGGGGATAGTGCACCATGAATTCGTACCCCCCGGCCAGACTGTCAACGCTCAATTTTACAAGGAAGTGCTTCAGAGACTGAATCACAGGATCGCCCGCGTCCGAAAGGAGATCCGCGCTTCATGGAAACTCCATCACGACAACGCGCCGGCTCACACCGCCTTTGTTATTACGGCCTACCTGACCCGGATCGGTGTGGCAACGGTGCCGCAGCCGCCCTACAGTCCCGACTTGGCCCCGGCGGACTTTTTTTTATTTCCTCGGCTGAAAAGGGAGCTCAAAGGACAACAGCTCGAGTCGGTTGACAACGTACAAGCTACTTCGACGGCCTCCCTGAACAGCATCCCAGTCAAGGAGTTCCAGAAATCTTATGACGCATGGAAATCGCGTTGGCAAAAATGTATTGACGCAGAAGGGTCATACTTCGAACAATTTTAAGTTGTTTTACCTATGCGATCAATAAATTCTTTTTTAAAAAAATGCGACGCATTACTTTCCGGACAAACCCTGTATATCGCAAGACTCTCTGCGCAACTCGACTACTAATCAGGCGCGCGGAAAAGAGGCAACAATACACGCGACTCAAAACACAAACTTTACGCGTTTCATAACTTTTTTTATCATGGATATTTTTAGGTGTTCTAACGACGTGTTAGTGTTATTTAGAATTTGTTTTAAAATTTTAAAACGTTTCTGCAACATATTTGTTGAGTTTTATGCTGTGTGGGTAATTAATTATATTTAATGGTGTTCTTATCACTTTCCTTATTGATATCATTATAAGATATTACTAAAATTTTATATTTGTCAAAACTAAAATAAAGATTTCTAAAATGGGTTTTAAAATGAAATCTGATAAGAAAAAAAGAGATATACTCTGTTTTTTATTTTATTTTAATATTTTACGAATATTTCAATGAAAAAATTTTTAATTAAAATCTGAGGCATTGTAAAGTCTTTAATAAAACAGACATATGATAGATTTGTACGAGATCATCCCGATTTTCTTGGCGTTAAAATTATATATGCGCCAAACCGTAACGTCAATGACACAAGAGTAGATGAATATCTGAACACGCTAATGCAGTTGACAAAATCATATCCCAACTTTGTAATTGGTTTCGACTTGGTCGGTCAAGAGGACAAAGGACAACCTCTTATAAAGTTCGCCGACAAATTGAACGCCATTAGTACAAAAATTAAATTCTTCTTCCACGCTGGAGAGACCAATTGGAACGGATTGTCCACTGACTTGAATCTTTTCGATGCTTTATTGCTCAATACTAAACGTATTGGCCACGGGTGAGTGTAGCACAAATAAAATTAAAGAAAAATTAATTTAAAATTCAAAATAGAAACATTTATTAATTATAAAAAGTTAAAGGTGAAAATTGCGTTTTTTATGACATACATCTTCATTTTATTTAAAATTATTTAGTAAATTATTTACCTTACCTAAAGTACTTCGCACTTATCTTATGGATTTCGATTAAATTAGCTAGTTTTTTCATATGTTGTAGCTTATGATTTGCTGAAGCTGTAATAGCTCATCAAAGCAAAATAATGGACAATTATTGAATTGCAGACAGTTAAATAGCTTGCAAAGCTCAAGTTTTTCATGTTTGACTAATTGTAAATTAATAAGTGTCTGTTATTTAGCTTTGAGGTTATTATATTTTTTGTTTGGTAGATTATTAAGTTACAACATATGAGAAAGCCAGTTAATTTAACAGAAATCTATTTTACATAAGATTAATGCGAGTTTGCTTTTTATTTTAAAATTTAATCAAAGCAGATTGTGACATATCGAAACACAAAATTTATCTAAACTATCGTTCGCGGTCTTATGATTGATATAATCCTCAGATTGACATTCATAACATTTATTTAGATATGCATTGACGAAGCATCCACTTTTGTGGAACATGGTGCAGCAAAGAGGGATAGCGGTGGAAATTTGTCCCATTTCGAATCAAGTTCTTAGCCTCGTGGAGGATATACGAAATCATCCTGCGACCACTTTGTTCGCGTCGGATTCGCCTATTGTAATTTCCAGCGATGATCCCGGACTTTGGGGCGCTAAAGCGCTCAGCCATGATTTTTATGAAGCCTTTATGGGTCTTATGAGTGCCAAGTCGGATCTCAAGAGTCTCAAGCAATTGGCGATAAACTCGCTGATCTACAGCAGTATGAACAACCAAGAAAAAAGTAAGGCGTTGATTCTTTGGCAGGCCAAGTGGGAAGCCTTTGTGAAGAAATTGGCCGATTTATCACTTAATAACAATAGATGGCAAAAATTGCAGCCTTCTGTCCTGCATATCTAATGCACATAATCAGTAAGATGAAAAGATATATGTATATCTTTGATAGAATAACGGAACAATATTATTTAATATTACTTGTGACAATAATTATTTGATTATTCATAGATAATACTCTTGTGTTATCGCAAAATATATTTATGTTCTTTCACTTTCTCAATATAGGTATATAATTATTAGAACTGTTTTTATTTACAAAAATTTGTGTTAAATTTAAAAATTGCATAAAATTCTCTTGTATTTTATATATATTTTATGTAAATCTGTTCTACCTTAACATAATTTTTAACGACGAATTGCGCATGAAAATATTTTAAATGCTAAGAAATTTATCAATGTGGATATAGATTTTTCGAAATTATTGTTTTGCGTTTCGTACACAAGATATAAAAAATATAAAAATTACATAAAATAAATATTATTTTTGCAATATATACGAGGCAACAGTTGATTAAATTGAAGCCTTGCAAGAGATTGTAAACTGTAAGAGATCTTGAAGAGATCAGATTTACGAAAATAAAGTTCATCATTATTATGTTCATTAAAAAGATCATAAAAGGCATTTATAACATCTATGTTTATGTTAACCTGCGCGATTTCTGTAATATCAAATACAGATAGATAATTGCCATAATAACAATTTTTTTAAATGTATAAACATGAATTTCATGATTTATGGAAATTTATGCAATACATGTAAATTTATTTACAATTTATTTAAAATTTATGTTTCTCCCACGTTTACTAATCCAGGTAAAGGTGTTAAATGATATATGTTGTGACGTGACATTTTTTTTGTCCGTCACAAGAGCCGAAGGCCCGGCCGGGAAGGCGGGAAATTCGGGAACCTTTGCTCTCTCGCCAACCTTTGATAGAGAGAGAGAGAGAGAAAGAGAGAGCACCCGAAAAATAATTTTTGCGTTTTTTTCTGCGTAAGAGGATGCGCCCCGCGCATCCGTCCCGCGAATTACTTTTATTTATAATTTTTGTTTAAGCGATTTTTGCGTTTTCGGCGAGCGATTTTGCATAGGGTGTCTTAACCGGAGAAGCCGAAAGAGAGAGAGAGAGAGAGAGAGAGAAAGTGAAAGGACGGAGAGGACGAAGAGAACGATTTCGGACCGAGCAGAGGCCACCACGTCCGGATCACGTCCGGTAAATATTGTTCACACACAGATTTTCTGGATTGCTCCTCCCGTTAAGAACCTGGATACCGCCATAAAATGTTCATTCTTCCACAGAGATTCCGGCAAAAGACGGAGATGGCCACTCTCTCGCGAGAGGCGAGAGAGCCCCGGAAACGAAAGACGCGGGAGATACACTACCTCGAGCCTCAGCCTACCCGGATATACAAAATTTCGCAATCGATCAATCAATCGATCTGGCGGATTTTTGAAGGAACAGCAAAGGGGCGTGCTCGTAGGATTCTTCCCGACGAAAAATAAAGAGGAACAGCGGAACTCGAGGCGGAAGCACAGAGGAACGGCGAGAGAAATTTTCATCAAGCGAATTCGCAGGGTCCCGCGGGGCACCAGGCGGCCCTGCCAGGATAAGGAGCGCCACGGGTGTGGAAAATGTTAGAATTAAAGTCTCGTCCCGTAATTATTGTGTCGTCTTTCGTTCGTTAGAAGTTAAAGATTGTAGAGAATAATCTTGTCTATAGTCACGTATGAGAAATATAGCGTATTCTTTCTCGCGCCTATTATTATTCGAGTATCCTTTGTGACATTGTGCGGAGGACGACCAGCGTGACCGATCTCAGGGAAACTCGCGCCGAACCTACTATAGTTTATGAGAGGTTGTGTATTGCCAAAATTATTAGAATCAATTGCTTCGCACGGGCTTTATTAAGTCTCGTGCGTTAATAATTATTCGATACGTAGGCACGCAAGTCTACTTCCGGGTCCCGCGTGCCACCTGATATCTCCGCGTCGGGTCGTCTCAAAGGCGCGAAATAATAACAACGCGCCGCGTCTCGGCCGTACATAAGCCGTACAGTACCGTCCGAATGAAAACTACGGCTTCGCCTTATTTGTCTTTCGGCGTCACATAAAATTCTCCGTCCGCCACGCACGATCAGTGTGCGGACCTCATTCGTTACTTATCGAAGGAATATTATTTGCTTTTGTACAACCTATTACTCAAACTTTTATATTTTTTTCTGTCTGTTTTTCGTTCATCTTGTTATTCCAAACATATTCAATGATTATTACATTTGAGCGATTTGAAATAGCCACTCTCGAACTCCGCTTTCTCTCCCGTCCGAACTCCCCCCTCTACCCCCTGACGACCTGAGCGAGTCGATTATCTCCGTCGCGGAAATTTGCAGGATGATTTACGGTTTATGAAGATTCTCTGCCGATTTGTGAATTTTTAGAGTGGCGCGAATCTCGCGCCTGGCGCCCAAGCAAATACAATTTTTGGTGTCTTTTCGAAGTTCCCGCTATCCGCGCTGAAGGTGTGCCGTCGGCCACTTACATCGGCCCTATTTCTCGGATCATTTTCTATCCGACTGTATCAAAATAAATAACGGTTACAATGTATAATAATGCAAATATTTTATGACAAAAGAACATTATTCCTTTTTGACTGTTTGACGATCAAAATCAGCGATCTATGTTCTATATCTCTTTGCTTTGTGAAAGAAATTTGCCTGTACTAGTTAATATTTGTATTTTATCGCAATAGAATTTTTCAAATTTTCGGTTTTTTATTTAGATGTTTTTTATTTTTCATCAAACTATTATACCATTTTTAACATTATAGTGCACAATTTATCTTTAATTTTTAATTCAAGCATGTTTCTGTATCAGTATAGTAGTAAAATAATTAAAGCAACATACATACATATCAAGTACAAAAGCAAAAAAATTCAAAGCTAAGCAGCTTCATCTGTAAGAAATAAATGTATATTACATCCCAAACAACACACAAATGACTGTTTACTGACGGATAGTCGACATTATTTAGTCAACTTGAAGTCTACTTTTTAAGTCGACGTTTAGTCAACTTTTTTAGGATGATTTATTGTCGACTTTAACTATTGACTGTAAGTCGACTCAAAGTCGACTGTTTTCAGAAAATTTAAAGTCGCTTTTCGACAAGAAGCAAAAAGTCGACTAAAAGATAATTTTTCGTCTTACCGAAAAAAGACAATATAAAAAGGATCTTTTCATTATTTTTTTGTTAACTTTTTCGACAAAGCGAAAAAATGTCTTTGGCCAACCTTTTAGATTTTAGGCCAATAAACAATTGTTAGTTTATTGTACATATGCTGCGCAGAACGTGTTACTTTGCATACATATGTATAAGTTCTATCCCTACCGTGGTAATATGTAGTTCTCGAACCTAGAACCGCTCAAACTGTGACCTTCTCTTCTGTTCTTTTCCTTGTGATCCAAGAAAGCGGACGTGAAAAAATACAAGGTAATTACAATTAAAGTTAATTTTATTTAATTTTAATAAATAATTAAAAATAGAAGATTTTGTAGTTTAATCACCGGTTGATAAAGTTACGCCTTCAATCTCCAATTGAGAAGAGAAGAGAAGAGAGAGAGAGAGAGAGAGAGAGAGGTTATGTATAACATCAGTTCTAATACTACTTATTATAATTAAAAATATATATATACAGAGTGATTCTAAACAACTGTTCGTTCTTAAAATGTCGTATTCCTGACTCGATTCTAAGACGATTTTTCCTTTGCCAAAATTTTATCCGAAGTTTAGTTTTTAAGATATTAAAAGAAATAGCGAATTACGGCGCGCGTACGGGCGGTAGACAGGAGCGGCGCAATTCATCCGACGCGGGCGATTATGTGGGCGCTCGCTACGATCAGCTGTTTGTCACACGCGATGTGTGCGTGTGCTTGTGTGTGTGTGCGTGCGTGTGCGTGTGTGTGTGCGCGTGTGTGTGCGTGTGCGCGCGCGCATAACACACACAAACTCACTTTCTCTCTCTCTCTCTCCCCTTCTCTCTATCTATCTCTCTCTCTCCCTCTCTCTCTCTCCTTCGCGTACGCCTCGAGCTATCTCTTTCTTCTCTCGCGCTACCATATCTCTATTTCATGCTATCTTTCTTCTTACGCGCCGTCTCCTTTCTTGGCATGCATCCCGAGCTATCTCTTTCTTCTCTCGCGCCGTCTGTCTTCTTTGCGTGCACCTCGAACTATTTCTTATGACATACGGAAGGGAATTTCGACGGCGCCAACGTTCGGCTGCTTGAATTTGTAAACAGGTAGAGCCCGATTTTATCACTATGATAGTCCATTGTGGAGATTTTTTGAGTTGAAACTTATGGAGAGCGGGTCCACGATGTCATAAGGTTTACGATATCTGTGGAGTGATGAAGTGCCAAAAAGATGACTGGAGGATATCTGCGCTGTATGCTCTCCAAAATAGTAAGTAGTACAATTTATTTAAAAATTATTTTAACGAATAATGCAATATAAAAAAAAAATATATATATATATTTAATATTAATATTTTTCAGACGATCGCCACAATCGTGCAAAATGAGGAGCCGGAAACTCTACTGATTTTTTCAGAGTGAGCACAGGCTCACAAAGCGAGAGAAGGTGCGGATTGTGAGGGCGGAACAGCGTCGATTTCTAAACGTCCTGTGGGGTGACACGGACGAATTATGAGAATGGGAGATATACAACCCGTGGATATAGTTTGATCCATTCGATCTAACCTATTTGTTTAAAACAACTGATAATAACCCGTATCCACCTGAACCTGAGGTGGAAAATTGGAACGGTAAGTATTTTAAAATAATTTTTTCAAAAGTTTTAAATTTTTAATAAATTATTTTTTCTGTGTACAGAAAAATTGTCGGACGTGTCAATAACGCGATATCCACCACCGCCGCCGCCGCCGCCGTCACCGCCGCAATCGCCGTCCCCGCAATCATCTCTTTTATAAAAAATAAGTTTTTTTTATTTTATATTCTTTTTTAAATTAAGAGTTTAACAAGGCTCTGTAATATAAATATAAATTTAAAGTGTAAGACAGGCAATAAGAGCCAAATCGCGGATGACAGTGTGTTATCCCAACAAAACTAAAATTTTTTCTGTTAGAATTAAATACCTGTGCACAAGGCACCAAATATTACTTAGTGACGGCCAAGATTTAAAATTGGAATAATCTCTACAAGAGATGTGATAAATAAAAAGGTCAACTTATCTACTATCGAGCAATTATTAGAGTTGTTCTGTCAAATAAAATTTATTCCATGTATAAACTATTAAACATAAAACATTATGTGAAAGCTACAAACATTCAATACTCAAACTTAAGAAAAAATTACAATTATTATAAATAATAAAATAAACGTTTTAACCGCACGCGGTCTTCCTCAGTATTATATTACAGTAATTATTAAAAAATACAAATTCAATAAAAATCCAATGATAGGCCAGTAAGAGCCGCAACGCGGGTGGTAAAGGCGTAAGTAAAAACAATAAAAAAGTATAAAAAACTAAGACATAAAAAAATTTTTTAATTAAGTAATTAAAAATTTTTTTATATCTTAGTTTTTTATACTTTTTTATTATTTTTATTTACGCCTTTACCACCCGCGTTGCGGCTCTTACTGGCCTATTATTGGATTTTTATTGTGTTTATTTATCAGAGCCTTATATATTTTATTTCTTAGTTATTTTAAATACAAATTCATACAAAAATTCACATAATATCGAAAATTAATGTTAGTTCTTTAATAAGAGTCGAGAATATATAAGCAGTTAAAGCGTGTTTCAATCCGTCATATCCAACAAATGTTTGCCTCGATATGATCTTTGATTTTAATCAAATCTCGAAAAGTTTCATCGTTAATATGCGAGAAATTAAAACGTTCCGTAGGCGCTGCGATTAATGAAAAATTAACGATTAACGTATGTCAAAAATTAAAATATATATCCCTAACAATTAGCAATATGCTTACTTGACATCGTCCTTCTTGACAATTTTAACCACGTTTTTTTGAGAAAGTTATTGAAGATGACACAAGACAAGACCAACAATATAAAAAGACACTTTATTTCAAACTCTACTTAATCGAAGGATGTGCGTGTTTATATATGATCTAATACCTATGTTTAAACCGTTAATGTCTTATTTGTCTTATTATTATTTATTGTTTGCCAATTTATCCAAAATATCAAAATACGACTCGCTGAGTAACTCAGTATCTTTGTTTAAATTTAGCCCATTATTTGTTCTTTAATATGTATCTCAGAAATGAGTCTTTATAATAATTATTTTCGTTGTCCAGAATCTTTACGTTATCCCAATTAAATGTATAGTGTTTATTTCTGATGTGTTCAGAAATTACTGAATATTTCGTTGAGTGCAACCTGATATTATTTTTATGTTCTTTTAGTCTCGTCTGTAATTGCTCCTCCTCGTTTGGCCTACATAAGATGCATTACAATTATTACAATTGATCTTATAAACTACATTCGAATTGCATGGATGTTTAGTTTTATCTTTCTGTGCTTTAATAATATTATCAAGTTTGTTGAGACATCTGTATCCTACTATACACTCTGTATTTTTTACTGAGGAGACAATCATTTCTGAGATCCTATTTATATACGGAATAACAAAGAATTTTTTATTCATTGATTCCTTTACACTTCTATGATTAATATGACTCAGATAGTTAATAATTTTAATAACTATCACAATAGACTTAAATTCACGGTGGAACAAGAGGTTAACCGTAGCTTGAATTTCTTAGATTTATCACTTAAAATTATTAATAACACAATATACATTGATTGGTATCAAAAAGAAACCTTCTCAGGAAGGACTTTATCATTTTTTTCTAACCACCATAAAATTGGAATAATATACAACCTTGTGGACAGATGTTTGTTGTTATCACACCCACAATTTTTTACGGTCCACGGGGCCGTAAAGCCGAGCGGCCGCGCCAAGAGAGCGAGAGAGAGAGAAAGAGAGAGAGAGAGAGAGAGAGAGAGAGGGAGGAACTTTGCAGCGCGAAGAAATAGATATTAACGCGTTTTATTTTTTTTTTATGTATTGCAAGAGCCTTGCTGTGAGGATATTTATTTAAGGAGAGATTAACAAGGAAGGCAAAAAGCGACAAATAAGGATTTGAAAACACCACGCACGAAACACGTGCCCCTACGAGAAGTCAGCACAACAACGGCCGCGAGGCGAGAGAACCGCAGGGGGGCGCCCGCCAGCAGGCGCCAAGAAGGGCCCCAAGGACCCGCGGATAATCTCTGCACCCCCGCTCCCGCCTCGCCGGAACCCCGTCGGCCGACAAATAATGAGGTCGTCGTTCCAGACCGCAAAAGCCTAAAAATAACGTGCCTTCTCAGCGAGATTTATATATTAAATTTGTTGTCGCGAGGGGTACCGAAAGTACCCCACACATTTCGTTATTGTCAAGCGAGTCGGGAAAATCGCGGAAAGCCTTAATTGGCTGTCGCGAATCCTACCCCCGACTCGCCGAATTCGCCCGGCTGCCGGTAGCGAGTCGGCAGGCTCGGCAGATTGGCGCGACCGCTGGCTCGGATAAGACGTGTAATTGAGAGAGAGAAAGATGGAGAAGCTAGAGGCCCGAGGACAAGAGAGGATTTTTCTTCCGGTGAGATTACCCTTCCTTTGTCACGTAAGTAACACGTCCGTATTGTAGTAAATTCCGAGTCTCAACCGTGCTGGCGCGATCGCGTAATTTAGTGTATTTATTTAGCGTACGGGCTAAGCCCGTTATTGGGGATTATTTCGAGTTTGTGATTTCGTGAGAGCGATCGTGGTCAAGCGGCGAAGAATTTCGGGAATTTGTACGCGTCGTAGTTATCTTTGCGATTTACGTCTCTCGGGGGTTCATTGTCGTCGCGCCGTCTCAATTTTTGGTGTCACGTTTATTTGCGTGTCTGAATGATTGCGTTTTTCATGAGAATGCCGAGTATTGCATGTATAAGTGAGTGAAGCGAATCGCGTAATTATTGTATTAGTCCGTCGCGTAATTCGGTGGTAACGAAAAGTCGAGAGAGAGAGAGAGAGACGATCAAGCGAGGCCGCGTGCAAGAGTGCGAAAGCGACAGACAGAGAGCGCGCGAGGGTGAGCGAGACGGCGATAGCCATGAACTGCTGGTCGCCGGTGTATTCGCGTTAAAGATTGAATTATATTATTTTGCAGCGATATGTTTGCTCTCTGATTATCACGAAGACTCTTTCGAATCTAAGCTCTGATTTTCTCGATCGCCGAATCTTTTGTCCGCTCTTTTATGGTGTAATTTGTTATAAAGTTGTCGCGTATCGCGAAGTGCGTAGAGTTGCGGTATTTAACGAGCCGAGATTATCACATTATTTCGCGTCTTAGGGTGCCGTCACATGAGGCGTAACTTGCGTACGCGTAACTTGCGGTAACTTACGCCGACTAATCATATCGTCTCATTTCAGTATCAGCTTCTGTCTAGTTATTTTATGCTTTGTACGCTATTATTGTTACGCCAAATCCAATTTCTGGCGGAAGAAACGCTAATGCGTATTTGTAAAAAAAAACTACATAACTCCATTTGTGCGTTTTTTTGTCACAGATGAAGAAGAAGAAGTCAATTTTAATCCATCCATACCTATACATTTCTAATAAGATGAACAAGAATAATCAAATAAGGGTAAGTTAACAAAAATCTAATTTATTATATAAGCTTTAATAGCGTTCGATTAAAAACAGTCTACTGCTCACATGTGATACAAAATTTCAAGTTTAAATTGTATATTAGTAGGTCTTCGTACTTTTTGCATTTAAAATCTGTTTTCTCTTTCTCTAATATTTAACATATATTGATTTCTTGTTTTACATGCATGAATTTTTGAGAATTTTGAGCAATATGAACATCATAATGCATTATTTTCTACATTGCATGTTTGAATCTTTTCAGCACAAATGCGGGTATTGTGGATGGCTGTTCCAATTTTCTACTAATTTTGTCGAGCATGAATGCTTCAAGTATTATGTGGAAGATAAAGATCGCATTGTTGTAGATGAAAATTTTGTCGTGACAATATGTTATAACAGTATGTTTACTACATTCTTTGCATATATTTTGTTGTATCATTTTCTTGTATTATAGTAATTAAATGTATTTATTTATTTAATAATCCAAGAGAATGCAAAGACTGCAGAAGGTCCTACAGATACTTTGGATGAACTCTTGATTGAAGTAGTGAGGGCAAGGAGGGGATTGTACGACTAGCGCATACCAGCAAATGAAAGGACCAATTTGCAAAAAAATGCATTGTGGGTGGAAGTGTCTAACATTCTATTCTAAGTGTCTATCATACTATTAATATCTCTTGTGAACACATGCAAATATTTTATACATTATAATTAAATTAATTAAATTAAATTTTTAGGAGCTTTTAATCCAGAGGAGGCAAAGGCCCGTTGAAAATATTTAAGAGATAATTATACTAAAGCGCGTAAAAAGATTAAAGATTATGTTCCTAGTGGATCGGCTGCTAGTGGACAAAAGAAACCCAAATTTAGATTTTATGACATGATGAAATTTTTAAATGACTTCCTTGAGACACGGCAGTAAGTTCTTTTTCTTCAATGTGCAAAAATGTGTCACTCTTTTTTGTCAATTTGTCAAGGAAAATAGATATAGAAGACAATTTTTCATGTCCAATACCCTCATGTAGGATGTTATATGTATATATAAACATATATTTATTTCAGGACTGTGAGCTAATTGCCAAACGTTGATGAAAAATATGGAACATTTGAGTCATACAAGGATGATACCAATAGTTTTCCTTCAATGCAGACTACCATTGATGCTTCACCAATACCGACTCCCACTTGTGTTCCTTTACGAACGCCTACACCAACTCTCATTCCTCCAAGGATCTCAATATCTAGAAGCGTCTCTCCACAAACGCTATTCAGTACTTCGCGAATATTGGCGACAAATGCGAAAAAGTTAGTATATTTTATATAAAACACGATATACCAATCTCATATTCTTAATATTCTTATCATTAGTATACCATATTTTGCTTCAATTTCCTTTGATGATAATAACTACTGTAAAACGTATTTGGAATTTTTAAAAAATATATTATTAGAATAAAAATTTAAATTATAAAAATAAAATAGTTCATTTACAATGTAAAGATTATTAATAATGTAATTTAAATATTAAAATTTTAATAAATTAAAAAATAAATATAATAAATATAATAATTAACAAATTTTAATAAAATGTACATTATTTACTAAACAATATAATCATTGTACATTATTTATGTTTCAGAGCAAAAGACCGATGTCTTGCAAACAGCTTTAATAGAAGCTGTAGTAACTCTGTAAATGGAGTAGGGAGACTCCGTAGGTTTAGACAGCGTGATTCGGATGACGGCAACCAGTGCCTGATAGGCTGCCTGCGACACCGAGACACGTCAATTAATCGTGCTCTCCTGACCGATAACGGTAGTAATAAAGAAACGTTCTTGCCCCGAATTTTCCTGGTGTTCGGTCATTACAAGTGGCGACGAGGATGGGATCTATTTAAATGGGTGACGAAGATTCATCCGACATTCGCGAACTTATAAAAAAGGGGCAAACGGCGTGGATTCAAAATTTGACTAAAGAAAAATGGCAAAAAGTGTGTTGCGAACTTGAGATCCAGTACGAAGCACGAGATACATTGGACGACTTGAGGAAATTGGCGCTTCGTGAAAAACAACAGCGCGGTCAAGATGGCCTATCTGGGTGGAATAGAATCTTTCCGCAAAAACAACAATTGGAATGCCTTTGAAATGCAGTTGGACGCATTCATAGCATTGAATGATATACCAAGTGAAAAAAAAGCGCGTTATTGTTGACGAAACTATCATCTGAAGTTTTTGCGGAATTAAAGGCATCAGTGGATTCGGTGGATATTATAACAACAAAATATGAAGATCTGAAAATAAAATTAAGGGAATTGTACGAACCGAAAAAAAACGAATGCCTAGAACGGATGGCTTTCAGAAAGCGAAATAAGAAAGAAGGGGAGTCTTTGCAAGATTACATAATTCAATTGAAACGCTTAGCTAAAGAATGTAATTTTTCAACAACGGATTTTGAAATAAATGTAAAAGATTAACTGATTAGCGGTGTTAACAATGATAATCTACAATATGAATTATTAAAAGAATCAAAAAAATCATTAAAGGACCTCGTGGAAGTAGCAAAAGTGATCGAAATGGCTAGCGAGCAAATGTTCGGACTAAAAGTACGTAAGAATCATGATGAAACTTTGACATCGGAATTCAATAAGATTCATAACGGCCAAAACGTAAACAGGAATAGACATCGAGGAAAATTCCAAGGCTTTCAGCGGAACACGATGGCGCGACAACAAGAGAAGACAAACACCAACATACCTGAGACCAGCACTCAACAAAGGAAATGTTATTGTTGTGGGAAGGAAGGTCATTTAAAGTCTCAGTGTTCATTGAAATTAAAATTTTGCAGTGAATGTGGACAGCAAGGTCACATTTATAAAATGTGTTCTAAAAATAAAAATACTCGTAATCTCCATAACATTGCTAACGCAGACACTGAAAGTTTAGATGAATCTGGTGAAAATATAACAAATGAATCCGAGGCGGACAGATACGAAATCGATTTTTATAATATTGATGATAATGAAAAAAATGTAAAAGATACATCTCCCCATTATGAAACTATTTTTATTAATAAAATTCCTCTTGATATGAAAGTAGATACGGGGGCATTCATTGCGGCTATATCACATGATGATTATAAAAAATATTTTTCGAACCGCCCGATGCGCAAAACCGATTTAATCTTAAAGTCGTATCAAAAGTTAATTATTCCATCATTAGGACTAATAAATGTTACAGTAAAAAGGGGAATTGTGAAATCAGGAATCAAAAGTTGTACATCATCGAAAACGGCGGGAAACCGATTATAGGTAGAGATTGGTTGAAAAAATTAGGACTGTGGCCGGTCAAACTTGGAAATAATAATGATATAATTAAACATAACATCTTAAAAATAGAGAGTGTAGTAGAAAATAAAATAAAAAACTTACAAACGGAATTTAAAGAAGTTTTTAAACCGGGATTCGGTTTGTTTACAAAAGGCAATATTAAATTAGAGCTCAAACCAAACACCAAGCCAAAATTTTTTCAACCTCATAAAGTTCCATTTTCAATGAAACCGAAAGTAGAAGCTGAATTAAAAAGATAACAAGATAATTCAATTATTGAACCGATCGAAATAGCGAATGGGGGACGCCGGTGATCCCTATTTTAAAAAAAGATGGATCAATTTGCTTGGTGGGAAATTTTAAAATTACAGTTAACCCACATTTAATAATTGATCATTTCCCACTGGCCAGAATCGAAAACATATGGCGACCCTCTTAGGTGGAGAAAAATTACGGTTATCGATTTTGCGGAGGCATTTTTGCAATTACCAGTTGAAGTAGAATCACAGAAAATCTTGACAATAAGCACACATATCGGATTATTTAAATGTTTACGCATGTTATGGGGTGGCAACAGGTCCAGGGTCATTTTAAAGGAAAATCGTTACATTATTAACGGGTATACCCGGAGTCGCAGTGCTCATCGATGATATAGTAATTACGGCAACGACGGCTGAGGAGCATTTCAGACGATTGAGGAAGGTGTTAAAAAGATTAAAAGAATCAGGATTGAGAGTAAATATAAAGAAATGTAAATTTTTCAGAATGAAATAGAATATTTAGGATACAAAATTAATAAACAAGGCATAAAGCCAATACCAGATAAAATTGAATGCGTTTGAAATGCCCCTCGGCCAAGAAATGTAACAGAATTGCGCAACTTTCTAGGATCAATGAATTATTACAATAGATTTATAAGAAATATGGCAACACTTGTTAAACCTTTATATGAATGTTTAGAAAAAAAGAATAGATTCACATGGTCCGACAGATGTGAACGCGCGTTTGTAGACGCTAAAGAAAAATTATTATCTGATCAAATACTGATACACTATGATCCTGAAAAAGAATTAGTTTTAACATGCGATGCATCACCGAGTGGAGTCTCGGCAGTATTATCTCACAGGATAAACGAAATAGATAAACCAATTCAATTTGCAAGTAGAACATTAACTTCGAGTGAGAAAAACTATTCACAGCTTGATCGTGAAGGTACAGCTATTATTTTTGGAATTAAAATGTTTCATGAGTTCCTATTTGGTAGAAAATTTATCTTACAAACCGATAATACTGCCTTGACAAGAATTTTCCATCCGGAGAAATCAATCCCAACAATAGCTGCTGCTCGATTACAATGATGGGCAGCTTTTTATCAGTATTTGACTATAAAATTAAACATATAAAAGGAAAGGATAATTACGCAGATTGGCTAAGTCGATTGCCGATAGAAAGCGGTGTGGAGGCAGAAAAACAAAAATGTCATTTTTGAATGAAATTCTGGATGTGTTTGTAAATGTAATAAAAAATATGACTTTGCTAGTTTAAATTGGAAATGTGTTCAAAATTCAACAAGGAAGGATAAAATTTTATGTAAAATTATAGCTTATACTAAAAATGGGTGGCCGGAAAAAGAACCTGAAGATAAAGAAATAAAAAGATATTGGAGAAAAAGAGAAGCAATTTCGATTGAGAATAACTGCGTATTATGGGGCCATAGAGTAATTGTTCCGGAAAAATTGCGAGGATTGATTTTGAAGGAACTACACTTCAGTCATTTTGGAATAAGTAAAATGAAGTCTATGGCGAGAGGATTTGTATGGTGGCCGGATATCGATACAGATTTGGAAAAAGTAACAAAAGCATGTTTACCGTGTTTAAAAACAAAAAAAACCCACCAAAAATCCCTCTAACGCCGTGGATTTGGCCGACTACACCTTGGCATAGAATGCATGCTGATTTTTGGGCCCACTGAATAATAAAATGATCCTTCTTTCGATAGACAGTCACTCAAAGTGGCCAGAGGCATTTATAATGACCAACATGACTGAAGATGAGACAATTAAGATTTTTCAAAGACTTTTCTGTCAATTTGGATATCCATCACACCTCGTAACGGATAACTTTAAAACGTTTGTAGGAGATACTTTCCATGAATTTGTAAAGAAAGGAAATGTAAGACACAGTACCTGTCCGCCGCACTGCCCAGCGACAAATGGCGCAGCCGAGAATATGGTAGACACATTCAAACGAAAAATTAAATGTATGTTATTAGATGGTTTAAATTTACAAGATGCTATTTACCAATTTTTGATAGATTATCGATCCACGCCACATTGCGCTACGAATCAGACTCCAGCAAAATTATTTTTAGGCAGAGAAATAAGAACTAGATTCTCGGCGTTAAGACTGGATGATGTTAGTGCAAAAATACATTTGCAACAAACGCGACAAATGAGAAATTGTAGAGAGGGGAGAACCGTCAAATTCAACCTGGGAGATACAGTCATGGTCACAGATTATAGGGGAGGAAAAAGGACGTGGTCCCGGGCGCGCATTGTGAAGGAGTTGATTCCGAGCGTAACCTATTTGGTCGAAATTGCACCTGATATTGTATGGAAAAGACATAGTAACCAGATGAGAGAATGTAGCGAGAATGTGAGAAATACGATTCCGTGTGAACGAGCTAATCCGCAAGAAAGTTCGGAAATGGAGTTGAGGCGATCGAAACGACTGCGAATGAAAGAGTTGAAAATGAAGCTTGTCTAGTTATGTTTATATAGATAGATGTATTTGTTTTCGGGATTATTTGGCATTGCTTGTGATATTTGAAAAAATACGAATATAGTCGTTTTCTTGTTATGCGGGGGAGAGCTGTAGTAACTCTGTAAATGGAGTAGGGAGACTCCGTAGGCTTAGACAGCGTGATTCGGATGACGGCAACCAGTGCCTGATAGGCTGCCTGCGACACCGAGACACGTCAATTAATCGTGCTCTCCTGACCGATAACGGTAGTAATAAAGAAACGTTCTTGCCCCGAATTTTCCTGGTGTTCGGTCATTAAGTAAAATTTGGTGCCTTGTGCACAGATATTTAATTCTAACGAAAACATTTTAGTTTCGTTGGGCTAACGCACTGTCTTCCGCGATTGGCTCTTATTGCCTGTCTTACACTTTAAATTTATATTTATATTACAGAGCCTTGTTAAACTCTTAAATTATAAAACATTTCGTGATCTTCAAATTCCATTTCTTTGACCAGATTGTTACTAGCACCTTGTAAAAATCTTTGTTTTTTTCTAAATATCGGGCGCACCCATATTCTATTATGAGCTTTTTCCTCTTGAATCATTAATTTCCATATTTATGCTTTTTAATTAATTAATGATACAATTTTTCAAGAATTTGTGCAACATATGTCCTCTCTAATTCATATTGTTATAACTATTGTATATTTGAATATTCCACAGAATATGGCAACAGGTGATGTTGCTGTGATTATTCCCAGCTACGCTGAAATCACCCTTTGCAATCTAGCGTTCAAGACGTTGTGAATCATGGTAAGTGCATGATTGATTGAAGTCTATTTATAAGAATGTATATATATATATATATATATATATATATATAGATAGATAGATAGATAGATAGAATCCAAGATTTAATTCTATCATCACTAAGCCAAGCCTCTTGAAAGATTTACTTAGTTTTTTCTTAATTGTCCATCACACATTTATATATATTGTAACCGTTGATTATTTTGATACAGTCGGATAGATAATGATCCGAGAAAGGGCGAAATAAATCCGTTCCTCTAGCTATCCTCCTACACAGTCGGCTGTATTTTCCAGAGGTTGGGAATTCTCCGTCTTTGTCGGGGGTTCCCGCGGCCGATTTCCCAATCCGAATTCCTCAGGAAAAGTAAACGG